TTCTATGAAGATTTTTACTTGGACTCGCCCTGAGGCAGTCTCATCCGGGCAAACTCAACGTGGCCTGCGGTCTTCTTTACCGGAGTGGCGCTTAAGCCGCAAGCTTAACATAGATCGGCCAGTGTCGGCCACAACGATAGATTTGCCGAAGAACCCATTTCCAACGAACCGGAGAGTTTAAGAGTGACCATCCAAAAGTTGCCCGAAAATTCTGAATGTTAAATAAATATATATTTTCCTACTAATTGTTTGTGTTGTGTAAATTTATTCAAGATGATGCAAGAATCCTCCGTTCTTATGAAAACGGTAATAGAGGTGGAGTTCATAACAGTACTGTTATGGTAAATTTAGAGCTGGTTACTCACTGATTTCTCAGATGCGAGCGCCCGGCAACCTCAAAACCACGCGCCTCCATTCCGGATCATCTTTAATTCTAATATAGGAATGTATGTATATCTGCATGTACATACAATTTAGTTCCCTCAAACTGACACTGAGATATGAGTAAAACTTGTCTGCATTCAGCTCGCCGTAAAACTATCTGAGACGTAGTCCTCGGAACTGGGCTGAATTTCACGTAACTGCCGTAAAAATCGGTAAACATTTGTGAAATTCTCTAGACTTCCTTGAACTACTAAGGGAATCCACATTATTTGGACTTCATTGAAAATCACTGGAAGTCCTTCGAACTTCTTAAAAGCTACACAATTTTCCTGAATTGAATGGAGCTGCCTTGAAGTTCTTCATTTTCGGACAAAAATTGTGATGCTCTTAAAATTTCCCTGGACTTCTCTGGACTTCCCTAAAGTTCCCTCAATTTCCATAACGATGATGTGTCATTTTTTTAAGTTCCGCAATTTTTCTGGAATTCTAGGAATGTCCTAAAGCCTTCCTAGCCTTCCTTACATGACGTTCTCGAAACTTCTTTGAAGCATTTGCAATTTCCCTGAAATTATTGGAACTGTCTAGGTTCTTTGATATTCCCTGAAGTTCTCGGAACTTCTACAAAGTTCTTGAAATTTCAGTTATTCTGACTTCCCTGAACTTTTACGAAGCTCTCAAAAAAAGTTTTTTTAATATCTCTGAAGTTCTCTAGAAAACCTGGGAACTTCTTTAAATTTCCCAGTATTTTTCTAAAATCAATAGATTTTCAATGATCTTTCGTGACGTTTCCTCAGTTTTCGAAACATCCCTGAAGCTTACAGAGCATCTTTTAAAATGTTTTTGCATTTTCCTGATGTTTCCAGAATTTCTTTGAAGTTCTCGGATCTTTTCTGACGTTCTCTGGAATGCTTTGATGTTCCCGCTATTCCCATCTTAACTTCCCTTGAGTTATTTGGAATTTCTCTAAATGTCTTTAAGTCCCCACAATTTACCTGAAAATAAAACGAAATAACTAGTGCCGTTCTACGATTTCAACCTTAGTTCTCAAAATTTCCCTGAAGCTCATGAAAACGCCCATAAATTATGGATACAAATTCATCATCATTTTAGAATGTGCCTTCCTTATATGATTCGGACTACCAGAAAGATCTCTGAACTTCCCTTAAATTCTCTAGACTTCTCTGAATTTATCAATTTATTTAAAAAAAGACTCCGTAATTTTGCTTAAGTTAATTTAATTGCCTTGAATTTACTTGATATTCCAAGAAATTCCCGTATCTTTCCTTAAGTTTTGAAAATTTCTTAAAAGCTCACCCGGCAAGATGAAATTTGCTGATGTCTGTATGTGCGTCTGTGGACGCGTTTTATCTAGGCAATGGTTGATATCTCGTTCGATAGGCCCCATTGCGCCATTGATCGCTATTGATTTTTTTTTCTCGATCTAACTTCCGGTTCCGGAGATATATAGCGCAGAATGATTTTAGTTAATGATTTTTTAAAAATCAGCGCTTCATCAACATGAATTTTTTAACAGTAGAAAGCTCATCCATATCTACTTGTGAAAACAAATTCATACCGGTCTGACTTCCGGTTCCGGAGATTTACAGGGTATAATGATTTTAGTTTTTTTGTTTATAAATTTATTTGATAAGGCTCAATCGAATTAACTTAACGGAGCCGAGGATTCTTGGTCACTATACAATACATCTTAAAACTATAGTCAAAAGGTACAACACAATAAACACTTTATCTTCCGCTATCCAAAAAGCCTCCTCCGTCAGAACGGAAGCCACTTCCAGTGGTTTCATTGTATGGTAGAATCGCCAACGAGGGTCAGAGCGCTTCCATTGCCACAATGGACGCAAAACGTGGTCAGCACTCACACACTCATCACTAAACGGTTGCTTTCCAAAGTCGACGACGCATCGACCGAAAGAACTGCTGATGAAGAACAATGAGGAGGACCACACAATGGTTGCTGCTGAGAAAACAGACGATTGCGTGGCACACATCGAGAGTGGCCTGCTTTTGTCGGCAACCGAGTGAACACTGAATGATTTTAGTTAACAATTTTCAAAAATCCATGGTACATCCCATCAACATGAAATTTTCAGCAGTGGGAAGACCTCATCCATATCTACATGTAGAAAAAATTTCATACCGATTTGACATTTGGTGTTGGAGATTCCTCGTGTAAAAAAGGTTCTATTCACCTGGGTTTTCTACTGAAGGACTTGTTACTGCCCTGAAATAAAAGGAACTGCCCTAAAAATATTTTAAACTTTCCTGATAATCTGTGGGCTTCTTTGAAGTTCCCAAATTTTCAAATTGACTTTTCTTAAGTTTTCTGGAGATCTCTGGACTACTTTGATCTGTGGTCTTCTTTGAAGTTCTCAAATTTTCAGTTAAGTTTTCTGGAAATATCTGGACTACTTTGAAATTTTCGAAGCTTTTTTAGGGTTCTCGAAATTTTCATGAAGTTCTTGGAACTGTTCAGAATTTATCGGAACCTACGCTTACGCTTAAAACTTTCCCGATAGTCTGGACTTTCCTGCCGCTCTCCAAACTTTCCTGAAGCTATTGGAACTTCTCAAAAGATCTCTGTAATTCCCCAAAAATCTCTAGACCTAGCTTCTCTGAGGTACTGCGGACCCCCAATTTTATGTATGTTCTCTCTACATCCCTGAAGTTCTCTTGACTTCGCTGAAGTTCTCTGGATATTACTGAAATTCTCAGTACTTCTTAAAAGTTTCTGCAGTTTTTCTGAAGAAAATGATACCACCTTGAAGTTCTTTAAGCTTCCCTGAATTTTCCAAAATATTCCAGAACTTTTTGGGACCTTATGTTCTCGCAGTTTGTTATGAAACTTCTTTGAAATTATCAGCTTTTTCTGTAATTCCTGAAAACTTCTTAAAAGTTCCAACCAATTATGTGAGGGTAATCGGACGCGGCTGAAGATCTCTAATCTTTCATGAAGTCCACTAAGCTTCCCTGAAGTTCTCATGAATAGACTGATGATGATAGTGGTGGTGTAGTGGTAAGTGTGATTACCTCTCATCTCAGCAGGCCTGGGTTCAATCCCAGTCGGCGCCGCCGGGTTGTTCTGAGGTATAACATCTCTGATCAGTGTTCAGGGAAGTAAAGCCGTTGGTCCCCGGTTCATGAGTCGATGGGTCGATAGGTAGGGTCCAGGTGTGGGAGCTGCCTCCCTGGCGTCGGTAGGATTTGTGCTCAGCACGGAAAACAAGATCGACGGAAAACAAACCAAAGGAAAAAAAAAACTGATGATGATCTGGAATTGACCTAAAGATCTCTAAATCTCCCTGAAGTTTGTTGGCTTCCGTGATTTTCTTGGAATTTCTTTGAAGTTTCTGAAATTTTTCTTAAGTTCACTAGAATTCCTTGATGTTTTATGGACTATAATTGAATTTTCGGAAATTTTTGGACGTTCCCGATAACCTCCTGAAATCTGCAGAACAGGTCTTTGTAATCCTCCAAAAATCGCTAGACCTAGCTTCCCTGAGGTACTGGAAATCCTTAATTTTCTTTAAGTTCTCTCTACATCTCTGAAGATCTCTTGACTACGCAGAAGTTCTCTGGATATTATAAAAGTAGTGCGTAGTTCTAGACGTTCTTGACGATCTCGGATCTAGTTTTTGGAACGTCCTACCTTCTCCATAAAAGTTTTCTATTGTAAAACCCAGTTTTTGGAAACTGGGCTTATGAGTTCTAATAGATTGTTTTCTGTTGGTACACGATTCTTTTAGGAAATGTAAAGGTTCTTTGAAACAGTTCCAACGGTATTTTGATACAAATCAGTCCAGAGCAGGGGACAGGACACCTTGTCTGATTATTTAATTTTTTTTTTCAATATATTTTCACTTTCTTGACAAAAGTATTCGTAGAACAAACACTGTGCTATGCTGCACAAAGCTCTATTTTTTACATAGAAATAATTGATGATATTTTCAAATATATCTAAGTTGTCTTGTCCCTTGGTCCAGAGTCCAATTTGAAGGAGCACATGAATTTTGATGTGTCGCATCGAATGTGTCAAGATTGTATGCGATATCGTAGGCGAATTGCAAGCGCACAGTTTATCAGTAGATGTAGCAGAATTTGTTGCTGATTTCGATTGCCGTTACACTTGTCAAGGTAAATTGACAAATTGGCGTATCGGGTAGATAAGAGATCGCGATACCAAGCTCTAGACATTGTGCGTTATCTGACTAGGGCGCTATGTGCATTTGCCCGGTTGAACAACGTTGATTAGTGGAATCCTAGTTGTTTTATAGATTTAGTTGAAAAATGCAAAGCACCTAAAGCGACGGGATCTGCCAAATCGCTAGCATTTTGATTCGTAACTTTGAAGGGGTAATCTTATTTTGAAATCTTCTGTTTACTGCGCGATCCTCTGACGTCATCCGATGTGTTCTGAATTTCCACAACGCACCTTATCGCTCCGACTGGTAGACGAGTGGCATGTTCTCGTGCTTTGGAATGACCGGTTTGACAGCTCGTTTGATTTCGAATGTGGATGATGTATCACCTGTCAGCCGATACTCGTTGGCCTCCACTAAGGTCACTCCGTATAAAAGAACTGTATCTCCGCTTGACCGAACTAGTTTACCCGTGCGATATAGTGTAGAGAACAAGAGTCGGTAGAATGCGTATAGTAGCGTCCCCTGGAGGGACTTGGACAATTACAGTGCTGTGTTGTTTGTTTGGGTTAGTGGTTGGACAATTTTCGAACAATCCTTGCATTCCGAAGTGTACTACATACGAAGAAATCAACACACTATGGTTGACCGGAAATGTATGGCAGTATTGGCAGTGTGAACCGATCGACGGAAACGAGTGGAACCTTCGGTTGAAGACCTGTGCCGCCGGAACGGTGTTTGACTATGCACAGCAGACGTGCGTTGATCAGGACGTTGGCAACGATTTTACGAGTTTGTGTGTTGAACGAAATCCAGCAGATCTGATTCCACCGCATGAAGAATGGCTTGGAATATGTCCGGTTCCTACCTGCGTAACATACCAGGAGATCAATACACTGTGGGCTATTCCGGATCCTGCTTACTTTCTGCAATGTCGACCGGATCCAACCGGAATATGGGTCCTGCAGCAGATGCCTTGTGCTTTGCCGACACTGTTCCATTTTGGTAAACAGATCTGCGTTTCTCGAGACCAATGGGAGGCTTGTGATGGTCAGGTTGTACCTGATGACATAATCACCACTGTCGGGCCACCCGTCACGACTGCCGCTCCTTCAAACCCACCTACCAATGCACCAACGCCAGCTCCTACTCTTCCTCCACCGGTTACCACAATCGCACCCACTCCTGCTCCCACTCCTGCTCCCACTCCTGCTCCCACTCCGGCTCCCACTCCTGCTCCCACTCCTGCTCCCACTCTTGCTCCCACTCCTGCACCCACTCCTGCACCCACTCCTGCTCCCACTCCTGCTCCCACTCCTGCTCCCACTCTTGCTCCCACTCCTGCTCCCACTCCTGCTCCCACTCCTGCTCCCACTCCTGCTCCCACTGCTGCTCCCACTCCTGCTCCCACTCTTGCTCCCACTTCTGCTCCAACGCTTCCTCCAATTCTTTCCACTCCGGAAGACGAATCCGATTACTGCATTCTACCGCGCTGTGAAACTTTTCAGGAGATCAACACACTGTGGCCTTATCCGGACAATCACTTCTTCTACCAGTGCCGTCCTGCTTTCGGAGGCGGCTGGGTACCGCAACAGATGCCATGTGCTCCGGCAACAGTGTTCAGCTTCCACCATCAGGTTTGCGTTTGGCCTGTTCAATGGGTCGATCCGTGCATAGACGTAACCACAGATAGTCCTACGGAAGGGCCAACGACTCCGGATGAACCGGCAACTACGGTAGCACCAACGACTACGGTAGAGCCAACGACTACGGTAGAGCCAACGACTCCGGATGAACCGGCAACTACGGTAGAACCAACGACTCCGGATGAACCGACACAGCCGACCACGGCCGTCCCCAGCGATAGACCAATCCTTGTAGATTGCCTGGTCCCGAATTGCGTGTACCTTCAAAACAGTGAGCTTCTATGGCCCACCAGAATCCCGGAAGATTTCTACCGCTGTATATTTCTGTTGGATACCATATGGTTTGCCTTCCGGGATCGCTGCCCGCAGGGAACCTACTTCAATTTCAATGAGCAAAGGTGTGCCGATCCATCCTTGTGGGATGACGTCTGCGCGGATGTTCCCGAAGACATTACGACGACCCAGATGACGACGGTTGCGGTGACGGAAGATGGGGAAATAGGTGACCCACTACCGGTTATCTGCGGATCACCGCGTTGCGAAACGACCGCGGAGCGAGATATTCGGTGGCCCAGCACCGTTGCCAATCAATTCTACGAGTGTGTATGGGTCGAACGTTTCTTCCAGTTCATTCCGTTCCCGAAGCGATGCCCGAACTTCTTGCTGTTTGATTTCCTCAAGCAGGACTGCGTAGAACCCCTCGAATGGGTCGATATTTGTCCGATCTTCCCAACGCTGCCACCAAGCTGTCCGGACTGTTGTCCTACCTGTCCACCAGCTACGGAGAGTCCAACGGAGGCTCCTACTACACCTCCCGTCATTCCGGAGTGGATGCCGGTTCCAATAATTTGCGGCCAACCACGTTGCACTACGCCTGTGGAGCAAGCTTTCTTGTGGCCTGCTGAAAACCCTCAGAATTTCTATATGTGCATAGATACCGATAACGGTTGGATGCAGGCCACATTGTTGGATTGCGGTGCCGGTCAATATTTCCAAACCATGGTACAAACTTGCGTTCCTGAAGTGGACTACGATTGGACATTCTGTCCAATCTACCCACCACCTCCGCCGATACCGACTGTTGCACCACAACCTTCCGGCTGCCGAACGGACTTCAACCCCAGCACCGTGTTTCCCATTGTTTGCGATATGCCACGCTGTATTACTGCAACCGATCTGGCTACTCGCTGGCCGGCTACGCACAAACAATTCTTCTACATCTGCCAACCATCTGGTGATCACTTCGTCGAAACCTTGGTTCAATGTGACATTGGCTTTGAGTTTGACTTCTTCCGTCAATGCTGCACCGACGAGCTGGTCAGCGAAGAAGTCTGCCCAATCTACCCGGCCCTTCCGACAATCGCTCCTAGCATCCCGGTGAAGACCTGTGTAGACAACTACAATCCTACCAGTATCCTACCAGCAACCTGCGACCTTCCACGTTGCAGCACTTCACCCGAAGTTTCTGCATACTGGCCCTCGGCTAACCCATCGAAGTTCTACGAATGCGAACTGCAGTTATTCGGTTCGCACATCCCATCGCTCAAGGACTGCCCGCAGGATACGACGTTTGACTTCTTCCGTCAGTGTTGCACCTCAACGCCGGTTCTTTCGCCGGAAGAAGTCTGCGCGCTCTTCATCGAGCCACCTGCCACGGTTCCGCCCAAATCTGAGGTCGCCTGCGACCAACCTCGGTGCGATACCGACGAAGATCGCAGCTTCCTATGGCCGTCGGCTGATCCGAGCGTTTTCTACGGCTGCGAGGAATTGTGGGATGGATCCTTATGGCCGCAGATGTTCATCTGTCCGTCGGATCTGGTGTTCCTGGTGCAGAAGCAGCTCTGTGGTGAAGTCTCGCTACACCAGAACACCTGCGGATCGGTTGATGTTCCGCAGCCGGAACTGGAGCCTCCAGCGGAGGATACACCCATCTTGACGCTTCCTCCGTGGTTGTCATGAGGCGGTACTGTTTTGGGGTGACGAGGGATGGATTAGGCTTAGGATGTAGGTTAGGAAGTCGCCATTTTGTATTTATTGTGCGCGTTTCTCAGTATATTTGATTTGTATAATAAAGTATGAAAATGAGAACGGAGGTTTTGTTCGATGCCGAGAGTTCAGCTAGGAAATATGGACAATTTCGTCGTTGGTTAGGGTGAAAAAGTAATATATATCAAAACCTCTATGTAAGTCTAACGAAAGAAATTCCTGAATGTTTTGAATCGACCTTCTCCGATTTGTATGAAACTTTGCGCAATTGTTTGTTATGGGCGTTGAATTCCATTTTTGCTAAAATTTGGTAATTTTGGATCTTGTTTGAAGGTTGTTGAACTTCTCTGTTTCTCTGGAGTTTGCAAGAATTTCCTGGGGTTCGCAAAACTTTATTGAAAATCCTGTAGACTAGACTGCATTCAGTATCCCTCGTCGGAATGGTTTCAAACTCGTTTTGTATGACCTGCTATTGGTACCATCGGTCATCAACTTATTAACAATTATTAAAGTTTGAGAACGCAGTAGTGTTTTGTCTGCTACTGCCAACCCAACCCAAGATTTGGAACTATTTAGTATGATAATGTACAATGACGGTATTTGACATACTCAGGGCTGAAAAGTGCCTCAGAGCGTTGACAAAGCAACTTTGTGCATATGTATCGCACAAAACTAGACACATACACGTTTCTCCCATTTGCTTCGCACAATCTTTTCCAACTAATCTTTGAGAAAGCGATCCGCACAATGAGCGGTACACTTAGTGCGGCGCAGGGAGGGAATAAAAAACAGCAAGCAGTTAATGTCCTCTTTGAGTTCTTTGCAGACTTTTCTTGCCACGATTGTATGCATAGGAGATGAAGAAGTGCACAACGAAGAAGAATGTTGCCTTTTTGCTGGGTTTCCCATTTGCAAACCTACACTGAGTGGCACTATTTGCGTCGAAGCCGTCGGAGCGATGGCTACACATTGAGTTTTCGTTATTTTTGAGTGTGTATTTCTTCTCTTCTCCGCTGCTCTACACTTACGCATGGTGAAAGGCTAGCAAACTTAGAGTTTACTTGATTCTCGCTTTGTGGATTTCAGAAAATCAGTACATTGCGCGCATTGAGTGATCAGATGACAGCCCTGGACATGATGAACTACTTTACCCAAGACGGCAACTCTCTACAACCAGCCTGAAATGTGTTATAGCTTGGTGTAAAAATCAACTATTTCCAATGGAATCGGATTCCGGAATTTCCGTATCAGGTACTGTCCAGGGCAGGGCCCCACAAAGTCACTTTCAATCGAAAATCGTCAAGTGACGATGAAGCTGTCAACCATCACTTTCAATTGAAAGTCATTCTGCCTTCTCTTCGAGCAGATCCCCGTCAACATCAACAGAACCACTTTCGATCGGTTTTCATGCTGTTTGTTTTGGCTTGATTCGTGTTCGTTTCTTCTTTCATTGTCAAATGAACTTACTTTTGCATTGCGAAGCGAAGCTGTTCGATCCAAATTCGCGCAGTTTGTATGACTTTGGTTGATTGTTCACTCGGTCCATTTAAGCGTGTGCGCATAGATCTGTGCACGTGGTTGTAAAATGTATCATTGTTGGGTGGTTTGTTTACCCATCAATAGGGGTATGTTTTTAATCGGGGTGACGTCTAGTGATCGAAAATTGATATGCGACGCCAAGATTGTGGCTTCCGATTCCAGAATAAGTGGGAAATATTGTCAAATACCCATCAATATAGGTATTTTTGGAATCGTGATGGCATCTAGAGGCCAGAAATCGATATCCGACGCCATTTTGAAATCCATGATGGCGGCTTCTGGCTTAAGAAAAAGTTGTAAATTCTATCAAATACCCATACAAACGGTTTTTTTTAGAGTCTAGAAGCCGGAAATCTATATCCGACGCCGAAAATGGATGTCACGCCGTCTTTAAACCCAAGATGGCGGCTTTGGTTCAGAAAAACTGTGAAATACTATCCAATACCGATCAATGTGGGTTTTTTGAAACCGGGCTGACATCTAGAAGCCAGAAATAAATGTGCGACGCCATCTTGAAATTCAAGATGGTAGCTTCCAATTTCAGAAGAAGTGTCAAAACAGCCTACAAATGGCGTCATATATCGATTTTCAGCATCTACGCATGGTCTCCGTTCCGAAAATACCCAGATCTTAGACACTTTTTGTGAAACCCGATGGTCGCCATATTGGATTCTAAAATGGCATTGGATATCGATTTTTGGTATCTACACGTTGTCCCCATTCCGAAAATACCAATATTGTAGGGTATTTGACACTTTCTGAACCATGATGGCTGCCATATTGGATTCCAAAGTGATATCTGATATCGACTTTCGGCATCTACGCGTTGTCCCTGTTCTGAAAATAACCATATTGTAGGATATTTGACACCTATTCTGAAACCATATGGCCGCCATATTGGAGTCAAACATAGCATCGGATATCGATTTTCGGCAGCCACGCGTTGTCTCCGTGCCGAAATACCCATAGCTTAGGGTATTTGACACGTTTTGGATTCCAAAATGGCGTCGAATATCGAATTTTTGGCATCTACGCGTCGTCTCCGTTCCGAAAATACCCAAACTGTAGGATGTTTGACACTTTCTGAATCCTGATGGCCGTCACATTGGATTCCAACATATTGTCGGATATCGATTTTTGCCATCTACGCGGCATCCCCGTTCCGAAAATACCCTATTGTAGGGCATTTGACACTTTTCTGAAACCAGATGGCCGCCATATTGGATTCCAACATATCGTCGAATATCGATTTTCCGCACCTTCGTGTCGTCCTCGTTCCGAAAATACTCATATTGTGGGGTTATTGTGAACCACTTCGGCGACTTGGAGATGCTTTGCCACAGCAATCCACCCTGGGTGATAGCTCTCCAAGAAGTTAACAAGGTGACGGTAGACCAGATGGATCGTTCCCTTACCGGAAAATACGCCTGGACCCTCAAAAGAGGTAGCAATTTTCGCCACTCCGTAGCCATTGGTGTTCTAAGGAGCATACCTTTTCAACGAGATTGACCTGGGAACTGATCTTCCCATAGTTGCTGTTCAATTGGAGAAGCCGGCAAACATTGCGATTGCCTGTGCATACCTGCTACAAAATCTGTCAAATAAAATCACCGGCGTTTTCAGCAAGCTACCCGAACGAAGGATATTTGTCGGAGACCTCAATGGGCATCATCCAACTTGGGGCTGTCCTCTTCCGGATCCTAGAGGAAGCATCCTAATGGACCTACTCGATCAGGAAGACATGGCGGTGCTCAACCATGGAAACCCAACATTCTTCAACGGACCTCACGCCACGGCTATCGACGTCTCTTCGATCAGCCGTTCCATAGCAGGAAAAGTCACGTGATGTACCAATGCGGATTTGTACGGAAGTGATCATTACCCTATCCAAATGCAGCTTTCGTCAGCCACGGCCCCAAAAGTCAAGAAAAGACCTCGCTGGCGGTACGACGAGGCTGACTGGTCTGTCACTGATCCTCGAACGCAATCCGCTAACCATCTCGGATTTTTCTAAGTTGGCGTTAGATGCTGCATCCGCTACCATACCAAAGACCAGTAGCCTACCTGGACGAAAAGCCCTCCGTTGGTGGAGCGAAGACACCAAAAAAGCCGGTCAAGCCCGCCGGAAAGCTCTACGGAAACTCAAGCGAACCCCGAGAGATGACCCAAACAGGAAAGAGCTACTAACCCGGTACCGTGCACTGCATATTCAATGCAGAAAAGAAGTGAGAAGGTTTCCTTGAATGCATCAACGCCTCCCAGTCCTCTGCCGATCTCTGGAGCAGGGTAAATGCTCTCAGCGGTAAACGGCACTCGACGCCATTACATGTACAAGCTAACGGAGTTACCATCTCCGAACCGGCAGCCGTCGCCGAAGAACTCGGAGGATATTTTGCAGAAATTTCTGCCATCTCCCGTTACGATAGCCACTTTCAGCGGTTGGCAAACCTTACCCGTACATCAGTCGCTGAGTTCAGCATCGCGCCTGACACGGACAACCTCGAAATCAACGAGCCTTTCTCCTGGGAGGAACTTCAGCACGCACTAAGCCGCAGCAACGGAAAATCTGCGGGACCTGAAGATCTCGGGTATCCACTTTTAAAAAAGCTGCCCCTTGAGGGCAAGTGTTGCATGCTGGAGATGCTCAACCAACACTGGGTCTGTGATACCTACCCGACGCTGTGGAAGGAGAGTCTCGTCGTGCCCATCCCGAAGGCAAACGAAAAAGACAGGGGCACATCTAAGTTTCGGCCGATCGTTCTCACATCCTGCATGACCAAGGCATTCGAACGGATGGTGAACCGTCGACTCAAGATGTCCCTTGAGACCAACAGCTTGCTCAACCACCGACAACATGCCTTTCGACAAGGTTTCGGTACGTCCACGTACTTTGCCACTCTGGGGGACGTCCTCAAGGAAGCTTACGACCAGGAACACCACGTTGAAATCATCTCTTTGGACATCTCCAAGGCTTTCAGCCGGACGTGGACGCCAGCCGTCCTGAAAAAACTTACAAACTGGGGCTTGAAGGGGCATATGATGTATTTCATACAAAACTTCTTGACCAACCGGTCATTCCGTGTATTGGTGGGGAACACGCGGTCGAAAAGTTCCAGCGAGGAGACCGGAGTCCCTCAAGGCTCCGTTATCGCAGTCACGTTGTTTCTGGTGGCAATGAACGGGGTATTTGACCGGCTACCTGGGCGCATTTACATATTTGTTTGGCAGTCTCTGCCGTCGTCAAATGGACCGACTCGATGGGTTTCCAGCTGTCCGCCAGGAAGAGCATCCGATGCCACGTATGTCCGTCTCAGCACCGAGTCAATAGCACCCCAATTACGATCCACGACCAAGCCATTCCAAACAGGAAAACAGTTCGCGTCCTCGGCGTACTGATCGACCGAACGCTCTCCTTCGACCAGCATTTCCAACAGGTCAAAAAGGACTGCCGCAGTAGACTCAACCTCGTTAAAACGATCTCTCGGCCTCACCGATCCAACAACCGCGATGTTCGGTTCCGGGTGGCGCGAGCCATCATCGACAGTAGGTTGCTTTACGGGACGGAAATTACTTGCATCGCTTCCGAGAAGCTGGTTAGAACCCTAGCACCAATCTACAACAGCTACATCCGCATCATATTTGGTCTCCTGCCATCCACTCCAGCAGACGCCGCATGCATCGAAGCGGGTTTTCTTCCTTTCCGATTCTGCTTAAACGCAAATATTGCCACAAAAGCCGCCGCCTTTTCCGCCAAGACCTCCGGAAACAATAGGATCTTTCTCCTCGACGAGGGGAACAGAGTCCTCCGCACGGCCGCCGACATCGACCTCCCCCCAGTGGCCAAAGTCCATTGGTATGGAGAGAAAAGTTGGCACTCTTCACGAATCCAATTGGACAATCGGATCAAGAACCGCTTCAAAACAGGGGATGCATCCATGATTTTGCGCAGATCGGTCGCCGAGTTACCTGGGTTCAACTATGCCGACCACGTACATCGGTACACCGACGGCTCCCGATCGATAAACGGAGTAAGTATCGGGATTTTTGGAGACGGTACTGCTGTAAGCAGTAGTCTTCCTCCACAATGCTCGGTTTTCTCGGCCGAGGCTGCAGCGATCTTCCGTGCCGCTACGACGCCAGCCAACAAACCAATACATATATTAACCGACTCACACAGCGTCGTTCAAGCGATCACCTCGGAAGCACCAGAACACCCATGGATCCAGGCGATTATCAAGTACGCCCCACCGAACACCGTGTACACATGGATTCCCGGACACTGCGGAGTGCCAGGTAACGAGTCTGCTGATCACCTTGCCGGAGCCGGGACATCGGGTACCAGACTCACCAACAAGGTACCCCTACAGGACGTCAGACGGTGGATCATGCGGACCATTCGAGCGGCATGTGAAGCCGAGTGGTTCCGCAACAGAACTGCCTTCATTCGCAAAGTCAAAGGGTCAACTGAACCATGGAGCGAACTGGACAACCTGAGGGATCAACGCGTGATTTCGCGGCTTCGAACCGGGCACAACAAACTCTACTATAACTATGGTGGCCTGCCGTTCCACAGAAGCTGCATCATCTGTGGGGTACCCTACACCGTCGAACACATCCTGTGCAACTGTCCGGAGTTCCGAAATCTTCGGGAGTCACTCTGCCTAACTTCCAGCATCAGTGATCTGCTCGGGAATGATACTTCGGCCTCGGCAGCACTAGTAACCTTCTTAAAAGAAGCCAACATCTACCACTTGGTATAGCAGGAATTTCTTTCGGCCGCCGGGACATCTCATCCCCTATTGGACCCATGCCAGCTGAGCTCTGTTTTGTTTGGATTAATCGTTTGTTGCTTGTCTTAAATCATTTTGTTTTCTGTTGTTCCTCTGTTGCATTATTTTATATATTGTTATTTTTTCCATATAAGTTGAAGAGCCAGCAACCAAAGTTATTTACAAAATGTTAATATACCATGTATTTAGAGGTTACTTACTCTGAGCCCTCTCCCTTCTTCGAAGATAAACTAGCCATAGGCTAAAAATCTCCTTAATAAAGAACTAAAAAAAAAGTACTAAGTATTCATTTTTGAGTAACAAATATTCATAAATGGGTAATATTTTTACTCATTTAATGGGTAGTCCCAGTCTCCCTCAAAAATGCTTCCTTTGTAGTCATTATTGGGTATTTTGCGGTTACCGTGTAAACAAAATAAAAATATCCCTCCTAATTTCCCACTAAACAAACCAACGACCGAATCAACGCTACCACAACACTACAACAATCGATCAACCGTACCAAAACCACTACTGATAACGTTTTTCAGTACCGGAAAATCACTTACGCGAAAAAATACCGAGAAATTCTTTGGTACAAGCAATGTAAATATTTACCGTATTTGACAAAACCCAGGTAATCATGACGTTTGATTATTGAAAACAATTTGAATGAAAAGAGACGAACCAGCTACAGGCTGAAAATCTTTATAATAAAGCAAAAAAAAAATTGAATGAAGAGAAGAGACCTACTGCTGTCATGATTACCATGGGTTTTGTCAAATAAGGTAAATATTTACATTGCTTGTACCAAAGAATTTTGACAGCTCCTTAAAATGCCAACCGACCACGGGCAGAGCCTACTCATTTTTCGGAACCGGTTTTTTTTTTCACTCTGCAATGCATTTTTAATCGTCTTTGAATGAGGTATAAACATTGCCTGTCGGTTAAAATTTCACAATTCTACGAGAGGGAGAAATCCTGGTCAATGCAACCCTAATATCTTAAGTGCTACTTTTTCTAAATATCCGAGGAATGGTTGAAAAATGGGCAGAAGAACTTTTCCCCTGCATTTTATTTGTATACGCCTTTAAGTATGCTTCACCTAACCACCACCCGTTCGTTATCTACCCGAATTCTTATCTCCGATTGCCACTTCCGTTGTTCTCAGACACTTCGTCATCCATCGAAGAAAACAAAAATCCGTACCATTCACAGCGAAAAATAAATTTTAATATTACATCCAAGAGGATGCACTTCAATCATGTCGAAAATCTCAAGTCATTTTTATGGCCACCAAAATAAACAAATGCAGTAAAAGCAGCGTAAATGATAGTTTTGTCCTTTTTGGCAAGTTTTACATTTTTGACACGATTGAAGTACATCCACTTTGATGTGATATCAAAATTTAATTTTTTGCTGTGTTCCTCTCGTGTTTTCGGTCGCCCATCTCACCCATTCATGAACTGCATCAACCAGAAAAACTTTTAAACCTAATTAGGCACCGGAAAAAATTGAAAACAAACGCACTATGAATCGCACTGGGGCCCCGGTCCTGCTGCCAAAAACATTGTCCATTAAGATGACACGATAACGCTTTCAACTCGGTGCTATAAAACAACCATTGATTACCGATGGAAGGTTACTTTCGTTCCATTTTGTCTGTGCTCCGGTGTCTCGTCTACTTTCACGCTTTCCGTCGAACGGAACTGAATTTTTTTTTATCGTCATGAAGGGTACGTATCGTCCAGTTAGGTTCGATCAGGACTTACATTCGTTGGTTTGATTTTCCGCAGGTATCGCTCTGATACTGTTGGCCCTGGTGGTAGCCATCTCAGCCCGATGTGTCCGTGACAACACGGCCGGACAGCCGGGCTGCAAGAAACAGGAGGAAGTGACCCAAGGCGTCTGGCGCCACAATCACGATCCGACTGCCTACTGGGAATGCGTGAAGCTGAACGAGCCGGCCGTCCTGCGTCGTTGCGTCAGTGATTCCGCCTTCCATGCCACGATGCTGGAATGCGTCAACTGGGACGAGTGGGAATGGGAACCAGCATGCGCTCCGCTGTCCCGACCGGATAACTAAACGAGCCAATTGGGAAAATCGGATTCAAATGACTTAGCTTTTACGACAGCGATGTGCCAGTTGAAGTCTTTTGCCAAGACATTTAAGCAACGAAGAGTGGACGCAACTGTGATACCGTATCAAACCAACACGACCATAATAGCAGCAATCAGTGTGATAAGGTTCTTTTCTAGGGAATAAAGCCCAGTAAAACGTACGTTTCCAAGAGTTTTATTATATACAGTAGTCTTCCCATTCCCAGCGGTTGACGCAGAATTGGAATCCTCCGTGGAAGAAGGTTCCAGCACCGCAATCCCTTTCTATCGGAATCCAATGCCCGAACTCGTTTGGTATGCACTGATAGAACATGGTCCAGTCCGTGTGTGGGTAGAGGGTGGGATCCTGGAACATGCATACCGGAACTGGACAGGTGCCCCTAATGGGGTCAGTAGTTGTGCCTGGATCTGGGTACGGTGTTGTCGTTTCTGGGTACAGTGTTGTCGTTTCTGGAGGGGGGAACGTTGTTGTCTGAGGTTCCTCCGTGGTCGTCTCCGGTTGCTCCGTGGTTGTTGTCGGCTGCTCCGTGGTCGTCTGTGGTTGTTCCGTAGTCGTCTGTGGCAGCTGTTCCGTAGTCGTCTGCGGCGGCTGTTCCGTAGTCGTCTGGGGCGACTGTTCCGTAGTCGTCTGCGACGGCACCGTAGTCGTCTGCGGCGGCTCCGTAGTCGTCTGCGGCGGCTCCGTAGTCGTCTGCGGCAGCTCCGATGTCGTCTCCAATTCCTCATCCGGAGTTGTCTGTGGCGTGATCACCACGTCAAACGTGCAATCCTGCTCCCAAAAGCGAGCATCCACGCACAGCTGTAGCGAGTAGCTGAACAGGTAACCCATGGCACATTCGCGCCGCACGGCTACCATTCCACCGGTAGGCCCTGGAATGCACTGCAGAAAAAAGCTTGGGTCTTCCTCAGGCCATAGCTGCCTCTGGTCCAGTATAGTTTGGCAGACAACCCGGGGACATTCCGGTAGCGATGTCGTTGGTGGGCACGGTTTTTCCCACTGTGATGGATGAACGCACTGTTGGTGGGTGAAGTCGAACAAGGTTCCGTACAGGCATGGTCTTCTTATGAGGTGCCACTGCGGAGGCTCGCAAATTATATAGAAATTTGGATCACGGAAAGGCCACAGCGTGGCTTGGTCTGCTTCGGTGGCACACGACGGAGGCGCACAACTAACGTCCACTGCGTATAGATCAGGTTGAAGTGCGGAGCTCAACGCTGCGGCCCAGAGGAATACGGCCAGCTGGATTAGTGTTGACATCGCAAGTAGAGCTTAGTTTCGTTACTGAATGAAATGGATTTCTTCCGGAAGGTGTTGTCTTACTTGAAGGGGTGTTAATCTAATCTATCGGTACGAAATTGGACAGAAAACTTAATTGCTGCTTTATCTGCCGTTGGTAATGGACGATACGTTCCTTTTGTAGGTATTGTAAACAAATCACGTCATAAAGTTATTTGTGGTGAGTTTTCTACTGCAATGAGCTTCTGAGCAATGGAAGAAATTCACCTCTAGGAAATTCTTCGAAAAAAATCCAGCGTGGGGTTGTTGGAAGTACCCAGATGATCTTTCCCAAAGCTCAAGCTGGGATATTTATAGGGACTGGGGATTGGAGAGAGCTGTGAAAAACCGTTACGATTTGTTCGAGAGGTTCTGGCAACCGTGTTGATTAGACGACTACTGATGTCTTTTGGACAAGGTCTGAACTGCAATTTAATAAATGTTTCAACTTATTTTTGGGAATGGTGCTGGAAGGAAGCTTAGAAAATACTTCTGCAGATTATAGTCGCTATATTCATAGTCTGGCGGATAGAATTTCAATCTATCATAAAGCGGAACCAGTGGTACTCTGATATTCTCATAGAAGGCAGGGTTCTAGGCTTTGGTAGAATACCTGGATAATTTTCAGGAGTTCAGTCAGGGAAGAGTTTTCGAAAAGCTTGGTTGACTACCAAGATAGCAATTTATTTAAATTCAGTCAAATTGAGGGCTCTTATAAAAAGTACTGAGAAATTCAGGGCAGTTACATGAACTTCAGAAAAATCAGTGAAAATCATAGAACTATAATAATTATTTCGTTTTGATTCCAAGAAAATTAAAATTTCTTGACTATACAGGCATCGAAAACTCTCAATTAATATCTTTGGAGGTGTATCTAGAACACTAGGTTGACAGCACGCAATAAGCTAATATGCGATAAGCAATAAGCTTGAAATGCGAAGAAGAAGTAAGCTTCAAAAATAAACGGAAATTTTAAGAAGTTTCCAGATTTTCAGAGATCTTCAGAGTTAAGAAAATTATTGAAGTCTTCACATAAATTCAGAAGCTCACGGAAGCTAAAACATGTTTAGGTCAGTTGCCGGCGCCGGTGGTGTAGTGGTAAGCGCGACCTCTGTCTCACCCCAATGGGTCTAGGTTCAATCCCAGCCGAGGTCGGTGGGATTTTTCTGAGGCATTAAAATCTCTGGTCACGTCTTCCTTCGGAAGGGAAGTAAAGCCGTTGGTCCCGGCCCATGTGTGTTGAATGGGTGCGATATCCTACGCAGGTGTGGCAGCTGCCTTTCTGCACATTCGATTGCCGTCAATGGATGGCAATCGATGTCCGTCGGTGATTGGCACTAGATTGCGGAACAGTAAATAAAGGAAAGAAGATTAGGTCAGTTCAATTAGGGCACTGTGCAACAAGTTTCAAGAGAACTGCAAAAATATTAAAAAAGTTTCGAGAACTTCAGGAAAGAACAGAGAACCTTAGAGCATAAATTAGATAAATTTTAAAGAAGTTTGGAGAATTTCTGCAAATTTTTATAAATTTTAGATAAGACCCACGATCGTTAAGAAAATTGAGGAAACTTTAGAAACTCCGAAAAAGTTCAGGGAAATTTAAAAATTTAATGGGAAGTATTGTGAGCGTCAGGCTAGTTTCTCAAACTACAAAAGAACTTCAAGGCAGTTTAATTAACTTCAGGAAAATTTTGGGAACTATCAAGCAGTTCTGAAGACTTCAGAATAGTCCATTTTTATTCCAATTCAGTTCGAGTTCTCCTCATTTAAACAAAACATGAGATGGTTTTCAAAATCAGTTAACCATATAATTAGGATAACAGAAAATCAGAAAAACAAAAAACCAGACAAAATAGAACAAAATCTGACAGAAGAAAAAAATTGTAAAATTATAAAATAGGAATGTCAGACAATCAGACACTAAAAAAACAGAAAAGCAAACAATCAGCAAATCGGAAAATCAGAAAATCGTAAAAGCAGATAATCACAAAAATAGTATATCAGTAAATCAGAACATCTCGAAATCAGGCAACATCGGAAAAAATTGAACATAATCAAAAAATCATAAAATCATTATATCATAATATCATGAATTCAGACAAGCAGATACAGTCAGGAATCCTTATTGTTGGATTCCTTATTGCCGGTATCCCTTATTGCCAGGCTATCCGCGAATAAGGATACCCACAGCTTATGGGATTTTCACTAAAAGGGGCTGTGGTGGATTATCTCATTTGTTTCAATATATAAAGCTATACTGTCTTGGACAAATATGTTGTACTGGGATAGACCAACAAGCCTGTGTCATTGGATTCAGGTTCAATTGGGAACCCTACGCCCCTTTCCATATATACTATATATGTAGTATATATTATAATACCCATATTGTAGGGTATTTGACAGTTTTTCTTGAATCGATTGCCGCCATCTTGGATTCCACAATTACGTCTGGCATCGATTTCCGTCCTCTACACGTCATCCCCTTTCCGAAAATACCCATATTGTAGGGTATTTGACAGTTTTTCTTGAATCGATGACCGCCATCTTGGATTCCAAAATTACGTCTGGCATCGATTTCCGTCCTCTACACGTCACCCCCTTTCCGAAAATACCCATATTGTAGGGTATTTGACAGTTTTTCTTGAATCGATTGCCGCCATCTTGGATTCCAAAATTACGTCTGGCATCGATTTCCGTCCTCTACACGTCATCCCCTTTTCCGAAAATACCCATATTGTAGGGTATTTGACAGTTTTTCTTGAATCGATTGCCGCCATCTTGGATTCCAAAATTACGTCTGGCATCGATTTCATCGAAAATACCCATATTGTAGGGTATTTGACAGTTTTTCTTGAACCGATGGCCACCATCTTGGATTCCAAAATTACGTCTGGCATCAATTTCCGCCTCTACACGTCATCCCCTTTCCGAAAATACCCATATTGTAGGGTATTTGGCAGTTTTTCTTGAATCGATGGCCACCATCTTGGATTCCAAAATGCCGTCTGGCATTGATTTCTGGTCTCTACACGTCATCCCCTTTCCGAAAATACTCATAATGTATGGTATTTGACAGTTTTTCTTGAACCGATGGCCGCCATCTTGGATTCGAAAATGACATCTGGCATCGATGTCCAGCCTCTACACGTCATCCCTTTTCCGAAAATACCCATGTTGTAGCGTATGTGACAGTTTTTCTTGAACTGATGGCCGCCATCTTGAATTTCAAAATGGCGTCTGACATCGATTTCCAGCCTCTACACGTCGTTCCCTTTCCGAAAATACCCATATTGTAGGGTATTTGACAATTTTTCTTGAATCGAACACCGCCATCTTGGATTTTAAAATGGCGTCCGAAATCGATTACAGCCTCTCTACACGTCATCCCTATTCCGCTTCGTGTCCTCGCATTGCACAGCAACAACTTATATGGACAAACTTTCCAGAAATAACATATTTAGGAAGTTCATGTGCACACTAGCGCCGCGTAGTGAGAAAGTTCTTAAATAATATGACCCCCATCCGAAAGGACTTGGTCACCTGAACAACTTTGCTGAAGACAGCAACGTTCTATATGGCCAGGTTCTCGAGATACAGCTTATATAGGAAGCTTATGTGCACACCAGCGCTGCGTAGCGAGAGAGTTCTGAACTAATATGGGCATCATCCGAAAGGACTTGGTCACTTGAACAACTTTGCTCAGTAAGGATTCCTGACTGTAATCAGATAATCAGAAAATCAAATAATGAGGAAATCAGACCAATTAAGAAAATCCGAAAATTTTAGAATAAAAAATAGGCAGTCCGAAAATCAGAAAAAGCAGAAAATCAGGCAAAATCGGACATATTTAATCATCAAATTAATTATAAAATCATAATACAAGCGCCTCAGTACCGGCCAAGAGAGAGCCGGAACAACAACAACATCAACGTAATAGATGAGCCTCGGCGAAAGCGCGAGGTAGCAACCCGACCCAACCATATCTTGTTGTTCAGCATGATCAGCGAATCCAAACACATAAAGCAACCAACGATACAGACAAAACCGTTGCTACGACTACCATGACAAACTCGCTCTGAAACATAGCTCGATCGGAGTGGTAGAATGATAATGATATATTACTTGCCTGCTTTGTTTCAATATGCATGGAATATAGCTTGATCTGAATCGAGAAAAGACATAACAAAAAAATTACCATTAACACACGTGTATCATCTTCGGCTTTACTTCGTGAAGCAGCTTGTCAACAATTTGCTCGTTTCATGTGTTCATGGCGAGTGAGCTGTGCCGCACGGGCTGCTTGTCATGAAAAAAGGAAGAAGATTATATCATTATTGCTTTCTACTTCTGACATAGCGTTATCATTCGATTCGTTGATCGCTGGTCATTTTGTCATTTGGAAATATTCTTGATTCCTTGAGCATGATTAATCCACTCTATCCTATTACAGTGGACGTTCTACACATCATCTGCTCACCCAACGGACAAGTGCAACGTATCAAGATATTCAAGAAGAAAATGGTTGAGTTTTACAGCGTTGAATCCGCCACCAGAGCCCGCGATGCATTGAACGGCTGTGACATCTACTCCGGTTGCTGCACACTGAAGATCGACTATGTAAAGTCAGAAAAACTCAATGTTTACTAAATCGACACGGACTCCAGTTGGGACTACACATTGGAAGCAACCGTCGCCAAGGCTGCCTGCAACGGACGAGCCCCGTTGCTACACGATCCTACCATCTTCGACAGAAGGCCCACCCCGTACAACGACCGTCAATCATTAGTCAACCATGATCCTGAACCAGCCCTTCTGGGAGCCGCCGGAACACACGTCGGACTGATTAAGGACGCACCGCTGGTCCTAAACGGACCAGCCAACTTCATTCAACCGCCACAGCAACAGGGCGCAGTGATGATGGTCTACGGACTCGAGAACAACACAGCCATCACCGATAAGCTGTTCAATCTGTTCTGCCTGTACGGAAATGTTGCCAGGATAAAGCATTCAGCACTTGAACAA